TAATCCACGCTGTCATCTCAGCACAGTGGACTTGGTTGTGTTTTCATTTACAGCCAATATTTATCCACCTTTCAATTGCTTTAGGTCGTGAATTATGATATTGCGAACGTCTGAAGTCATTTTTAGCTCCAAGTGAAATCATGGTTAGTGTTGGCCCTGCCTGACCTGTATCTTTGACCTGTGAGGCTTAGCCAGCAAACTATTTAACCTCCAAATATGTGATTGTTGTTCATTCTCTGAGGACACGGATTCCTTGAGGCCTGCGTGGACAGTCGGCTTCACCACCAGCAGGGTGTTGAGTGAGAATGTTACTCTTTTCTGTTAGGGATGCTTTGAGGGTTCTGCTCTTGCTTAGTCAATTTAGGGAAAGCGGATCTGAACAGGAGCCGCCTAACAATGGCTGGCATTTCGGGAGGATGGGAACCTGAGGACTGGCTTCTGAATTGGGGGCTGGCATTCCTGGACTGATACCTTAAACCTTGACTCTGTTGATCCAAGGTGCTTTTTCTCTTGTTGATGGAGAGCTTGAAATTATTTTTATTTTATGTGGCCCTAAGCAAGTCATCAGCTGTCTTCAGACACCGGATTGATGGATAACTTATTTGAGAATTCCATTTGCCTCCCTTTGAATTGGTGTACTTCAGGTGCAAACACTGGCATAAAGACAGGTTCTGTTCCAGGTCACCAACAGCGTGTCCAGTACAGTCAACGGCACAGGCATATATTATACCACTGTTGGAAAACAAATCTGGGCTGTGGTTTCTGAATTGCTTCATCAGACTAAAAGAAAGCAAGAGTGCCTGCATGCAGCCTTTCCCATTGAGATCATCATTCACCCCACAAATTTTTGAGAACCAAGTTCCCCTCTCTCCAGAAGCTGATGCCCTTTAAATAATATATTCATATAAATAAAACATCTCATTATTGGATTTATAAATTATATTATGTAGTATTTATTATATGTAAATTTTTATATAAATTTGTAACCATTTATAAATTAATTAACATGTCATGTAATCTTTATAATGACATGGCCAGGTCAATATCACAGTATTCATTTTGTAGTCAGAGAATGTAAAGTCTAAAGAGGCTGTAACTTTCCCATGATCGGAGCGTCCCCAGCGAGTTGTGGTGTGAGCATCACACCGTGTGCTTTTGTGGTTGGCTCTAGGATAGATAGCACAGTGACGGGCCGTGCACATCCTCTGATGCAGTGTGTGCTATTTCTCATTTCATTTTTCTATGCTACAGAATTCTGACTGCACATGTTTGAATTGTTGTTTTAAATGCAAATATTCCAAAATCTGAAGGCAAAGGATCAACATATTCTGGAAACACCCTGGGGAGAACCAGGTAAACAAAACTAAAACTAGAGGGATGAAGGGAAGATTGCAGACTCGAGTCACTCTAATCTTGATGAAATGCTTGCATTGCATTTGTATCTTTTTTTTTGAGTCGGAGTTTCGCTCTTGTTACCCAGGCTGGAGTGCAATGGTGTGATCTCGGCTCACCGCAACCTCCGCCTCCTGGGTTCAAGCAATTCTCCTGCCTCAGCCTCCCGAGTAGCTGGGATTACAGGCACACGCCACCATGCCCAGCTAATTTTTTGTATTTTTTAGTAGAGACGGGGTTTCACCATGTTGACCAGGATGGCCTCGATCTCTTGACCTCATGATCCACCCGCCTCACCTCCCAAAGTGCTGGGATTACAGGCGTGAGCCACCGCGCCTGGCCTGCGTTTGTATCTTAAAGGGAGGCATTTGGGGGCCCTTGTACCAAGTACCATGTTGATTGTTCTTTCTGTTACATGTTAGGAGCATAATTCTGATCTCTTGCCATTGGTCCTAAGAAGATCTGTTGACGTAGATAATACATAATTATTGTACACCCTGGAGGGCTTGTGGTTAGTGGGTGGATTTTGTCTCCATCTGACCTGCTGTGTTGATGGTGGTTGTTGAGAGCCGTTGAGTTAGGGAAAATCCTGTGGCTTTCTGTGTCGTTCAGAAGAAGCGGGAGTCAGTTCATGAGTTGGTCAGGAGGACTAGAGGGGTGGTGTTTACCTCTCAATGGAGTGTGTATGATGCAGCTGTTAGGATCTCAAGCTGGCAAACAAGGATAGCGTTGAAATCCCTAGGGAAAGCCCCGAAGAGGGGGCCACGTGAGTTCAGGCAGCAGTTTTTCCCTGCCAGTGGGATAGACCACTCTTTCACTGCGGAGCCTTAGGAGTATTTGAAAACTTGTGCTATGAAAAATAGGAATCTTACAGGAGAATCTTACAGGAGAATCTGCCTGTTTGGGACAGGCAGATCCTCATCTCCCGCCCCTCCGTCCCTCCCGGGCACAGTGGCCTGCCTTCTCCTGCCTTCTGGTGTGTGGAGTGAGCTAGGATTGCTGTGTAGCTGCTGTGAGGGGCAGTGGGGAGACCTGGGGGAGCATCCCGGATTCCTGGAGAGGGAGGGCGGTCCTGGCCTGGAAGGAAGACCTGCACTGGGCAGAGCGGTACTGACGGGAGGGGCACGGTGAGCTGTGGTTGGGGACACTCCGCTGTGCCCCTTATGTGGCTCCCTCTGTTTTCAGCCAGGACACTCCCCGCCTGAGGGTTCTGAGCCCACAGCTGCCTACTGAGGAGTTTCCCGACTCCTGCAGGCAGATGTTGGGGCCCATGGCAGCACGGGCTGCTCTAACTCTGTGAGCCATCAGCTGCTTCACATCGTGGTGGTGTTTTAATTTTTTTATAGCTCTGGTTTTCTTAAGTATTTATAAAATTTGAGAACAAGCCTGGCTTGAATTGAGCCCTCTCTTTTCCTTTTCTCTTCCATAACCACTTGCACTCCCCATTTCCCAGGCACGCAGTAGGAGGAAGGCAGACAGGGAGAGGCGGGTGCTGTCATCCTTAGCAATGTGGGGGCGTGTGTGCCAGAAGGCCCTCCCTCCTGGGGTCTCTACAACATGCCCCAGGCGCAAGCATTTGATGGGTGGTCGGTATAGTGAGTGAGGGCCTCGGATGCTCTCAGAACATCCTGGAAGGATCCCTGCAAGGACAGTATTGAGTCTTGCTGAGAAGTCAGACAGTCGCAGACAGAGGTGGGAGATTTGTGGCCAATGTGCCATTGGCCGTTGGAAAAGCAAGCTGAGGCCTCAACATTTCTTTACAATTCCAGTTCTCTAGCTGCAAATGCCCTGGTTCTGCAGTCCCTGGAGGCCATGCCTGGGCCTGCGCCCCATGTTTACAGCACCCCTGGCCAGCGCTGGGTTGTGGAGGGAGGTCAGCACGTGTTTGTCAACAGGGAACATCCACAGTCTTACTTACAATTTTTGGTTTATTTATTAGTCTCTCCTTATAGATGGCACAAAGGTAAACATCTTGTGGGTCTGGCTGGAGTCACAGCTCCCTGCCTCTGGGGCTGGCTTCTGGGCTTTGCGTTCTTCTAGTGGACAGTCCTCTGGTTAGGGAAGACAGAGCCTTCCCTGCCATGTCCTCCTGCATACTGGTCCAGATCACATCTGCTGCGGTGGCTTGTCATTTGCCGTTGTGAGGCATGTGGTATTTTAAAGCCATCTTTCCCAAGAAAAGTCTCTTTTACGGGAATGTGGCTGTCTCTGTGGCTGTCACAGCCTTGTGGTGGGGGAGGGCCCTGCCTGTGTATTGTTTGGTCTGAGAGCAGAATCCAGCCTGTCCAGGGCCTTCCACCCCCTGGGGATTCGGGAAAGTGCCACTTCCTGGTGGTCCTGCCCCTGCTGTCTGAGTGAGGGGTGCCCCTGTCCCTGCAACTCCCCCATCTATGGCCTGATAACCCTCCCAATGATGCCAGTGCTGTGCACTGTCACAAGAGGCAGGAGAGTCACCGTTTATAAAGGCAGGGCAGAAGCCGGGTGCGGTGGCTCACGCTTGTCATCCCAGCACTTTGGGAGGCCTAGGCGGGCGGATCACAAGGTCAGGAGTTCAAGAGCAGCCTGACCAACATGGTGAAATCCCATCTCTACTAAAAATACAAACATTAACTGGGCATGGTGATGTGCGCCTGTAATCCCAGCTACTTGGGAGGCTGAGGCAGGAGAATTGCTTGAACTGGGATCTGGGAAGTAGAGGTTGCAGTGAGCTGAGATCACACCACTGCACTCCAGCCTGGGCTACAGAGCGAGACTCCATCTCAGAAAGGAAGGAAGGAAGGAAGGAAGGAAGGAAGGAAGGAAGGAAGGGCGGGACACTCAGGCTCCTGCTCTGCCCACCGTTTCCCACATGCCAAGTATCTGCAGGGGGAGTCCTACCCTTTGGCTCATTGGCACAGTCATCTAGGGTACTTGAGCTGCACCCTGGAAACCTCGTGAACCCCAGCTTGGATTCAAATCACATCAGGGTGATTCCGAACACTTGTCTCACGTGATCACCAGCAGGACCTCTGGATAGCCAGGCGTGGGAAGCTAAATGCCAACACCGTCTTTGTCTCCCTCTCTCCCTTCCTCCCTTTTTGTGTCTCTGTCTCTAAATTATAGTATGCACGTAATCATTTAGCATAGTACACACGGTAATGACCGGCTGCTTCTTTTTTGCAAACAAAAGGCTTTAAGCTGCAACATGGAGCGCTGAGATGGAAGAAAAGCTATCACAATCAGTTGTTAAAGTCTAGAAAAAAGAGACCAGGCAATTCCATTTTTCAGATGTGTCCAAATCAGGGCACATCCTCTCGGTCTGAAGGGGTTTAGGTGTGGCCTCTCTGAGGACTAGTGATGGTGGTGTTCAGAGCTGTGGTTTCATAGGAGCAGCACAGGGAAAACGTGGAAGCCCCCCGTGGAGCCCGGCACCCAGCAGCAGCCTCTGCCTGCACCCCAGCTGTCTGCAGGTGCCCGTGCCCAGGGTCAGAGTTCCGCCCTGAAGTATGAACTCCCAGCCAGAGTCCAGAGGGGGTCCCTGCTGTGCCGGCCTCTGCAGAGTGTGCTCCTTGCCAGGAACGTGTGTCCTGGCTGCAGCGGCTTTGTTTTGTTCTCCCTCTCTAACCCAGGTGAAATGCTACCACAAGAAATACCGCTCGGCCACCCGTGACGTCATTTTCCGCCTACAGTTTCACACTGGGGCTGTGCAGGGCTACGGGCTGGCGTTTGGGAAGGAGGACCTGGACAATGCCAGCAAAGGTGAGGTGTGGAGCAGGCAGCCCTGGGCTTTCGACAGCTCCTTGGTTGATTCTTTCACTGTCCGCTTTACCCCCTTTCCAAAATTCAGCCTGTTGACAAAATTGCTCCCAAATTAGAAGAAAGCAGTCATTGGTCTGTAGGAAAAAAAAATTACGGAGAACCAATGAAACTGCCTATGCTTTCTGTATCATGGGACCTCTTTATTGCAGATTTGGGAGTGGTGCTATACTGGTTGGAATAAGGGATAAGGTCAATCTGTACTTTTCTGGTTAATCATCTCCACTAATGTGTTAAAATACGTTGTTTTTTTTTTCAGATGACCGTTTTCCCGACTATGGGAAGGTTGAGTTAGTCTTCTCTGCCACTCCTGAGAAGATTCAAGGTAGGCAGGTTTGTGGAACACTCGGAGGTCCCTGTTGACAATGGTGGAAGGTGGATGATGGCTACGCTGGGGCCTGCAGTATTAGTCTCCTGCCTTTGCACATATTTATTTGCCTGTAATTAATTTTATTTAAACATAGGATATTGGATAGTGGAACAAGAAGGCCCACTCATGTCAGTAAGCCCAAGAGGTGGCGTGACTTGACCACAGCCACTCAGCCAGGAGAGCCTCGGGCATGACAATGGCCTTTCTTGCAGGAGTAAGGTGGTATTGCACTGTGGTTTTAATTTGCATTTCCCTTATGGTTAGGGATGTTTAGCGCTTTTCCGTATGTTTGTTGGCCATTCGTATATCTTTTGAAAAATGTCTGTTCACATCATTTGCCCACTTTTTGATGGGATTATTTGTTTTTTGCTTGAGGATTTGTTCGAGTTCCTTGTAGATTTTGAATATTTGTCCTTTGCCAGATGCCTAGTTTGCAAATATTCTCTCTCACTCTGTGGGTTCTATTTACTTTGATGATTATTTCTTTTGTGATACAGACACTTTTTAGTTTAATTAGGTCCCATTTACTTATTTTTGTTTCTGTTGTATTTGCTTTTGGGGTCTTAGTCATGAATTATTTTCTTATATGAATGTCCAAAGGAGTTTTTCTTAGGTTATCTTCTAGACTTTTTATGATTTCAGGTCTTAGATTTAAATCTTTGATCCATCTTGAGTTGATTTTTGTAATATTAGGTGAGAAATGGGGATCCAGTTTTGTTCTTCTACACGTGGCTAGCCAGTTTTTCCAGCGCCATTTGTTAAATAGGGTATATTTTGCCCAATTTATGTTTTTTTGCTTTGTTGAAGATCAATTGTATTTTTGGATTCTCTCTTCTGTTCCATTGATCTGTTTACTTTTATACCGTGCTGTTTTGGTAACTCTAGCCTTGTAGCATAGTTTGAGTCCAATAATGTAATGCCACTAGATTTTTTTCCTTTTTTTGGGGATAGCTTTGGCTATTTGGGCCGCTTTTTGGATTCATATAAATTTTAGGATTTTTTTCTAATTTTGTAAAAAATGATATTCATATTTTGATAGGAATTGCATTGAATCTGTAGATTGCTTTGTATAGTATGGTCATTTGAAATATATTGATTCTTCCAATCCATGAGCATGGGATGTGTTTTCATTTGTTTGTGTCATTTCTGATTTCTTTCAGCAGTGTTTTGTAGTTCTCCTTGTATAGATCTTTTACCTTTTTAGTTAAGTATATACTAGATATTTTCTTTTTCTTTTTGCAGCTGTCGTAAAAAGAATTGAGTTCTTAATCTGATTGTCAGTTTGATCATTGTTAGTGTGTAACAATGCTACTGATATGCGCACATTGATTTTGAAACCTGAGACTTTACTGAATTTGTTTATCAAATACGGAAGTCTTTCGGAGGAGTCTTCAGTTTAGCTTCTAGGTATATGATCATTTCATTCATTGGCAAACAGCAACAGTTGGACTTTCTTTTTCCAATTTGGGTTCCCTTATTTCTTTCTCTTGCCTGATTGCTCTGGCTGGGACTTCCAGTACTATGTTGAATAGAAGTGGTGAAAGTGGGTATCCTTGTCCTGTTCCACTTTTCAGGGGGAGTGCTTTCCACCTTACCCCATTCAGTATGACATTGGCTGTGGGTTTGTCATACATGGTTTTTATCATTTTGAGGTAAGTCCCTTCTATACCTAGTTTGTTGAGTGTTTTTATCAGAAAGGGATGCTAGATTTTTGCATCTATTGAAATGACACATGGTTTTTGTTTTTAAAGGTGTTTATATGATGTATCACATTTATTGACTAATATATGTTAAATCATCCCTGCATTCCTGGGATGAAATCCTCTTGATCTTGGTGTATTATCTTTTTAATGTGCTGTTAGAGTCAGTTGGTTAGTATTTTGTTGAAGATCTATGTTTATCAGGCATATTAGTCTGTGGTTTTCTTTTCTTTCTTTCTTTCTTTTTTTTTTTTTTTTTTTTTGGTTATATTCTTTCCTGGATTTGGCGTCAGGGTGATACTGGCTTCGTAGAATGAGTTAGTTAGGGAGGATTCCTCTTTCTCAGTCTTTTGAAATTGTTCGGAAGGATTGGCACTAATTCTTCTTTGAATGGATGGTAGAATTCAGCTGTGAATCTGTCTGGCCTTGGGCTCTTTTTTATTGGCATAAAAAACAATTATTGATTCATCTTCACTGCTTGTTACTGGTCTGTTCAGGGTTTCTATTTCTTCCTGATTTAATCAAGGAGGGTTGTCTGTGTCCAGGAATTGACCAATTTTCTCTCGATTTTCTAGTTTATATACATAAAATGTTACAATCAATACCAGAGCTCATTTGAGAATATTATACACATTTCATAATAGTCTCAAATGATCTTTTGTGTTGGTTGTAATGTTTCCAGTTTCATATCAAATTGAATTTATTTGACTCTTCTCTCTTCTTGGTTAACCTAGCTAATGGTCTATCAATTTTGTTTGTCTCTTCAAAAAATGAGCATTTTCTTTCATTGATCTTTCGTATTTTATTTTGTTTCAACTTCATTTCATTCTGCACTGATTTTTGTTTTCAATTTTTTTCTACTAGCTTTGGGTTTCGTTTGTTCTTGCTTCTCTGGTTCCTTGAGGTTTGACATTAGGTTGTCAATTTGTGATCTTTCAGACTTTGTGATGTAGGCATTTAGTGCTGTAAATTTTCCTCTTATCACTGCTTTTGCTTATTCCAGAGGTTTGATAACTTGTGTCACTATTATAATTTATTTCAAGGAATTTTTAAATTTCCATCTTGATTTCATCATTAACCCCAAAGTAACCAGCATTTTAAAAAGAGAATTAGAAGCATAGTAGGCTGCAAATATTATGTATAAAATGTATTTTTTCCCTAAAAATACGTATTTCAAAAGAAATTGATGCCTTTATCATTAAAGTGAATTGTCCGGATCATCACCAAGATCCACATTCATGGGAGTTTTGTTTCCCTTTTTAATAGCTATGGAAATAATCATGCTTTTTCTGTGCTCATTGTCATAGGTTAGGCAAAAACCTTTAAATGCATGGCTTGTATGTTAAAAATCCCCTCAGTATTCTTAGAAAGGCTTGAAGGGAGGAGTGTGGCTCTGGGAGCCTGGAGCCCAAATCTGTGGGCTCTGAGGCTCAGACACAGCTTACTGGGCCTCTGTGTCCTTATCAGTGAAGTGGTCTGAAGACTTCTGTTTTGCAGAGTGGCACTCAGAGTCCAAGCCTGGTACACAGTGGACGAAAGATCAGTGCTTACTTATCCCTTCCCCCTAGTGGTTTTAACCATGGTTCTATTCGTGGAAAATCCTCTATGGTCTCTGATTAGCGCCGTGGCTCATGGGAGGAGGGTGGAGCATGGAGAGGCTTCTCTGCCCTGCTCAGGTCAGGCTGCCTGCCCGCCCTCATGGTGGAGTCAGGTGGACAGAGGTGCTGGGCCTCACTGGGACTAACATTGCTGCCTGTGTCCTGTGCAGGGTCTGAACACTTGTACAACGACCACGGAGTGATTGTGGACTACAACACAGCAGACCCGCTGATACGCTGGGACTCGTACGCGAACCTCAGTGCGGATGGAGAAGGTGCGTGTGGTCATCTCGTGGTCAGTTATGGAGGAGAAGGGCACAGGGAAGACAGCCTGCTCCAAGAGCTGACAGAGTTTGCAGTCTGCTCAGAAGAGGCAGTCCTCCTGTTTTCTCAGAGGTCCAGAAGTACACCTTTGTGTGACACAGTTGTGAGTTTTGAGGGTCTTCCTGAGAATAAGAGTGGTGAGTTTGGGTCAGGGCTTTTTGTGAAACTGTAACGGGTGGATGAGCTGTCAGTGAAGTTACATCCAGGAGCCCCTTGGCCTGAACTTGTGTGTATGTATAATGCCAGGGATCGTTCCCCCTTCTTCCCTCCCTTCCTGCTTGCATATGGGGAGGCCAAACGCTGCCCACAGCCAACCTAGCTACTATTGTTCAGGCCCGACACGCCACAGACATTTTGTTTGTATTTCTGTTCGCTTGTTAGTCTAGTGTTCCTGATTTATGGCTGTAGCATTTAAATCTCTGTTTTCATGAGACCATCTCACCCAAACATGTTCTCCGTTCACCCGTGGAATGTGCACTTTGGAGCACAGTCAGGCGCGTGAAGGAGGAAAGGAAGGAAGGGGCAGCTGTGTGCTGGAATCTCCGCAACACACAACTGGAGGTTGATTTCGAAGGGGGGAAACTGAGGCTTTTCCTGGCACATCATGCTAATCTCTTACCCTTTTCAACCACTGACTGAGAATCAGACTTGCTTTGGGAAAGAAATTAAAATACTTTTTGTCGAATTAGTTACATCCAGATGTAAAACAGCTAAAAGCACGTGTTGTGGAAGGAACCGTGGTAGCGCCCTGTCTCTGTGGATCTCTGAGCTTCCCATGACTCCAGGAAGGTGGTGTCTGTGGTCAGTGAGAAAAGACACCAATTGTGTGTCCCAGGGCGGCACACGGCTCCTCTCTGTTGTGCTGGGCAGGAGCTTGCTCCTTCATAGGCCTTGTGGGATGGAATTTCAACTCAAGGAATTGTAGCAACCCAAATACACCTGGACCAGAGGTGGAGACCCACGGATGGATGTTGATGGTAAGGGCATTAAAACACAGATGAAGTCTGGGGTTAGTGGGCAAAATGCTGTGGACAGGAGGAGCCTTGCTGTGGCCTGTAAACAGGGTGTTCTTCGCTGGTGTGAATTCTTCAGCACACCAGTCCTTCCAGATAACCAGCACGTTAAAAGAAACGTAGCTGAAAACTTTCAGAAAACTATACATTGTCTCTCAAGAGATAACAGTGTACGTTGGAATCTTAAAGCTGTGCGAATGATTAATAAGTTTTCTCAAACAAGGGTTGTCAACCTTTTGATCACAGAGCTCTTTTTCTACTAGCATCTGTTCGCATTTGCAGAGCTGTATTCTGTCCGTCACGAGGTGATGTTTTCCTCTGGAGGAGAGAGGGGTGAAGAGGTGGCGGGTGAAGTGTGTGAATAAGCAGCTCAGGGCGAGATGAGGGAAGGAGCTAATTTGGAGAGCTGGACAGGACCTCTGAGGACAGCTGACTTAGAATCCTAAATGCCAGGCTGAGGAGGGTGGATTTGACCACAGAAGTCCCTTGCTGCTTGGGAGCCAGTGAGCAGGGCTCTGTTGTGAGGTGATTAATCAGCAGCTACGCCAAGTCTTCTGGAGACCAGGGAAGCACAGCCGGGGAGCCTGGCACCATTGAGGGTGTTGTGAAAGGACATTCTCGTGATGGTGGGAGGTTCCTTGCTTGCCAAGGGAGGGGCACGCCTGGAGGGTTATTGACCGTGACGGAGGCAGGGATTCTAAAACACAGGTGGGTGGTCTCTGTGCTGATGCCGTAAGAGGGGAGCAGTGAAGCTCAGTGGGCAGTGTGGAGGAACCCCAGCTCCTGTGAGGAGTGTGCTCTGGAGGACAGCTCTGTGCTCAGCCCCTCTGTGAGTGCCCGGCTCCTGTCCCCAGGCTGGCTCCCAGCTGAGTCTGTGACTTCCCTGCAGGGCAGATTTTATTCTCCCCACCTCACAATCTGGGAAGTGAAAGCTGGGTGCCTGCAGCCACGTCACTCACAGGTGGTGAAGGACGTGCATTGATTTTATGTAGAAAAAATATAAACAGAAAGCAAATCAGTTGAGTGTTCACCACCCTTTGGGGTTACATGAAACTTCACAGAGAATGTATGGAAGTTCGAGTGTGAGGGTGTGTGTATAGATCCATATGTTGTGGAGGACTTGCCGTTAATACTGGGTGAAATAGACAGAATTCAGTCTTAAACACTCTCAATCACCGACAGTGTCTTCTGAAGATTCAGAGGGAGATACTTTATTTCAGCGTCCTCTCAGTCCATTCACGCTGCCTTAACAGATGACCATAGCCTGGGTGACTTTAACAACATTTATCTCTCCTACTTTGAGAGGCTGGGAAGTCCAAGATGAGGGAGCCAGCCTGGCGGATTCTGATAGAGCTGTCACCTAGTTGCCGACTCCTGCCTTCTTGTGTCTCCATGTGGTTGTGAGGAGAGGGAGGTCCTTGGGGTCCCCCTTCTGAGGGCACCAATCCCACTTAAGGAGTCTCCACCCCCATGCTCTGCGCACTGTCCAGAGGTCCTGCTTCCTAATACCATCACACTGGGGATTAGGTTTTGATGTATCTTAGGGGCACAAATATTCAGTCCATAGCAGCTACTCAATGCGTGTTTGTTGAATGAATGATTAGAGAGGCAATTGAGCTTTAAATATCTAAGGCCCTGACATGACAAATCACAATTCCCACTGGTGCATTTTTCCTGAAGCGTCTTTTGAGCCAGGGGTATGAGCAGCTAGGACACCATGCTGTGGATTGCGCGGTTAGAGGCACTGGAGCCATGCAGGTGATGGTCTGGTCATCCACTCCCGACTTTGTGTCGTAGAGTGTTTGGTCTACGGGCTATCAGAGAAGGTCTGGCATCGCCATGCAAAGGATGGAGCCAGTGGGGAATGGATGCACAGGAATCTTGGAAAGAAACTGAGAAGGAACAGGGCAGAGTGGAGAGGACACCCAGAGAGAGTGGTTCCCAGATGGTGGGGCGAGGAGTCGGATAGGGTGCCAAGGCAGCCAGGCATACTTTGCAGCCAGATTCACAGCTTTCCTGTGCAGTAAGTGGAGTGGGTCAGAAAGTTTGTGCTTCTACACTTTAAATCTTTGCTTTTTCCACAGACTGACTTTGCTCCATGGAAACAGGGCACTTAGGGGGCTGTGGAAGAATGAGGTGTACTGTAGAAGAATCATCCTACCTGGCTGTCTCACGGGTTCTCCAGGGCCACGGCTGGCCCTGCTTTCCTGCTCTGTCACTGCTGCTACTTCTAGTGCATGTTTTCGGGGTCCACAGTTCTTGTCTTCTGCATATCCACAGGTGGACAGCTGCTCTGAACCCTTGGAATTGTGTTAGTTTTTGTTTGTTTGTTTGTTTTTTTACCGATAAATGATCTTTAAATTAACTTGAGGAAATTTGGGGGGAATAAAGGCATTTGTTGGGAGGACATGGAATAGCATATAGAGTCAAAAGCAGAGCCGTCAGCTGGTGGAGGTTTTGGAAGGGACAGTGCTACTGCTAGCTGCTCTGTGGTCTGGGAAGCCACCCCCGGGGGACTCTTTGCAGGGACCAGCACTAGGATAACAGGCTCCAGCACTCAGCCCTGCATTGCTCTGCTTATGTTCAGATTCCTGGAAGACAGACAGGAATGTGTAGCATTGCGTGGGTCATGGGATGAGCTAGGGTCAAGTGGGCAGAGTGCCCCCCACACCCACCCCGAAGGCTGCATGCATGGAGGGAAGAAGGCCGGTTTTCTAGGGGAAAATGCAAGAGTCATTCCCGAGGAAGAGGAGATGGGTGCTGAGCCCGGACAGTGACAGACACCCACTTGGGGCACTCGCAGCTTCCCTTGGCCCCTGAGGGGTCAGTGGCTGAGAGCTTGGAGTCGTGCTCGTTGTCATGAGACAGTGGCTGTGTCTGCTCTGGACCCAGCAGACACCAAGATAACCAGTTACAAAAGAGGCATGGAAGGGGCTCTGGGATCATGTTCTCTGAGGGTTTCCAGGCTTCATAAAGCAGTAGAGACTCCTCACGCCCAGAGGCCTCATGCATACAGTGGGTGAGAGCGCAGCCTCTTCCCAGCACCTCGTTCATCCCTTGCAGTCTGGATGATACCTGAAGCCCATGAGCACCCCCAGGGAGGTGGAGGGAAGGGGGAGGACTCAGAGTGAGCTCTGAACTGGTACCCCGGATGCTTAGCCCAGAACCTGTCACATGAAATCCGAGTTCTCTCCCAGAACTGGATCTCAGCAACCTTCCCTTGAACCACTGCCTGAGCATTCCTGAGAATTCCAGCTCCCGGGTTACAGGCAAGCATGGAGCCTCTCCTCGGATCTGTGTCTCCTCATCCTGCATCCCCTCCCTCCCCATGTGCTGTCGGGTGTGTCCAGGGTACCTGATTCAATGGAGTGAGTTTTATGCTTTTCTTCCTTTCTTATACATACATTTAAGCTTGTATCAATATTTTTTGAAGATGTAAATTATTGAAAAGAAAGAAGGAATAATTATCCCCATCTTACTACCTGGAGACACAGCACTCATCACTGATGTATTTCAGGCATGATTTCTAAATACCATGTAATTTCTCTCTCTCTTTTTTTTTTTTTTTTTTTTTTTTTTGAGACGGAGTTTCATTCTTGTCACCTTGGCTGGAGTGCAATGGTGCTGTCTTGGCTCACTGCAACCTCCACTTCCAGGGTTCAAGTGATTCTCCTGCCTCAGCCTCCTGAGTAGCTGGGATCACAGGTGCCCACCACCACACTCAGCTAATTTTTATACTTTTAGTAGAGACGGGGTTTTCGCCCTGTTGGCCAGGCTGCTCTCAAACTCCTGACCTCAGGTGATCCACCCACCTCGGCCTCCCAAAGTGCTGGGATTACAGGTGTGAGCCACCTCACCCAGCCATAATTTCTTGTAATAAGATCAGCCTGTGTATTGTTTTATATCCTGAGTTTTCCACTTAATCCACCTCCCTGAGC